GGCATTTATAGAGTCTTATGCTGAAAAATCTGAACAGACTCCGGTCACACTCCAGTCCGTGTATGTACATGCTTAAAACTAAAAAAAAACAACATAGAAAGCCGGTAGGTACGAAGCCGCTACTCTCCAAATTGACGAGGACACAAAGCTTTCATTTAGGGAAATAATAACTAAACGCATATCTGAGAATAACATCAAGACCAATACTGAGGAGGTCATGCCTAATACCCAGTCAGCTGTGGAAACAGTGGTCAGAGCTGTTGATAACCTAAAACCAAAGGTTAGTGAATGCTAAATGATTCCTGATACTTCATCCTAGGTGATACAAAAAAGAAGCCTGATTTTGACAAACTTCGAACAAGAAGACAAGAGAAACCTGCCAAAATGCGAGCTGAGTGAAAGCTTCGCAACAGACGTGCATAGGGGTGCGTGAAAACATCAAAGATGAGAAAGGCCTCGCCAATGCTAAAATTTCCAAACTGAACCGGCAATACTGTTTGAAAAAAAACCCATTGTTATTATTATAATATTTATTATTCTCATTTTGTACTTCGAATATTTTTGAATTTATACTGTAAATGTGGATCTGAGTAAATCGGATGCAATATTGTGACAAATGCTGAGAATTCCATTCTGTATTATAGGTACTGTTTTTGGAATAAAGCCTATTATTATTAAAGAAACAACATGAGACCTAATGTCATTGCTATTCATTCCTTAGGTTCAGCCCATCGGCATTCTACTCATTTCTTTACTTTAATTTTCACTTAGCTCCACAACCGCCCACAGCTTTCATTTCTTACTCATATGATCTCCTCCATGTCACCTTTGGATGCTCAACTTGTCACTTCCCAATTTGAATTCCACTCGACGGCTTGGCATGTGGTATCAGCCGGTGGTCTCTTCAATGTGCATCCAATCCATTTCAGTTTCCTTTTGCCTATCTGTTGAGCAGTCGGTGGTTAGCTAATTTACTTCCTCGTGGAGTTCCTTCACGCTTATCATTTCTGACAGGATATCCGGTCTTCAGTAACTAGCGAAGGTGCCTGCTGTTGATGAAAGTCTTTGCAGAAAAGTCAAGTCACTGCTACCATATTGTTCAGATGTTTGGCGCGCGCACGTCACCAAAACCATTTCAAATTACAGACTTTCGTCAACAGTTTCTCCCTTCACTAGATACTGAAGACCGGATGGTCCGCCAGAAAGGATAAGAAGCAAGGAATTCTGTGCAACAGTGAATTAGCTAACCACCCATTGCCCAGCAAATATGCCAAAGAAAACGGAAATGGATTGGACATTGATGATGATGAAGAGACCACCAACACTGACACCACATGCCAGGCAGTCGAGTAGAATTCAAATGGGAAGTGACAAGTTGGGTATTAGACGGAGATATGCAGATCACGTGAATAGGGGAAATGAAAGCTTGTGTTCTAGATGGGTTAACTGATTGCGACTTACTGGTGTGATCTCACAATCATTACATGGTATTTGGAACACTATATTGTTTTTTTTAAGTCGACAGTATTTGCCTTTGAGTGAGTTCAACTCAAATTTGCTTACTATCTTTAAGCATCATAAAAGACACTTTCTAACAACAGTATTGTCCAGATATAATTGCAGGACGCTGCGTTCAAAAAGTGAAACATTCATTCCTTTTGAAAACTATGTATTCCAATTACTAATCTAAACTATTTTAACTTTTTAGGGTTCTGAAATCTATCGTTTCCCTGAAATAATACCACAGGAAGATGAAAGCGATGACAATGACAAGTACTGCATCAGTGAGACACAAGAGATCTGGTAAATTTGATGACAGCTTTGGCTTAGAAAAGTAGCGTTGAAGTGTTTAACTTTTCATACAAAAAATAAAAGAGGAAACTGTTACCGACTACTCTATGAATTCTGTTATTCCAAAGTGCATTATTCGAACGGAAAAAACTCTGGACGCGGTTAGGAAGAGACATGTTACTGATAAGTGAAGCTAAAGACATTTCTTCTGAGTTATTCACAAGAAAATTTGATATAGTAGCCACTTGAGTATTCACTATAAGAAATATTAAAGTAGAACATCATAGATCTTATAGTTGGAAATCGTAATTTAGAATATCTATCTCATTTTTGAATAGATCAGTACTCATCCGTGCAGTCGAACCTCTTGAAGTTGTCGACAAGTTCGTCTGAGTGCTGGCAGAGGTGTGACGTTCGAGATCTCTAACCGTATAGTGGGAGCTAAGGTGGCATATGCCAATTTCGGCCACCATCAACCTGGCTGTCAAAGGTTGGGTGTAGAACGCTTTGGTGCATGCTGTCGTGCTCTATGCCTATGTAGCTTGGGCTCTACGAGATGAAGATATGCAGCGATTCTGTGTATTCGATTATCGCTGTCGCCGTAGAATTGCTTGAGTTCGACGGCATCATCGCCTGAGTAATTCTGCTGTTCAACAGCGTGTATCTGGACACAGTGGAAATCACCATTCGTCTAGTGTCATCATCTAAACATGTGCTGCGAATGTCATCCCAGAGGCTTCCGTACCCGTCTCCTTTTGCTTGTCCTGAGACTGGATGGGAAAATCCGAGGTGGTCAGCCTATGACATGGCGTCGTGGGCTGAATGATAATAGTGTTAAGTTAGCATCAGTTGGTATATCAGGACTCTCTGGTCGAAGTCCGAGTGATAGTTCGAATCGTAAACTTGAAACGCCCTCAGATATGGTCAAAGATCGCAACCAATGGAAAACTTCCCTCCATCCTTCTTTCGTTTCTGAAATTACCTTGATGTAATGATCTTGACAAATATGTTTGCTTGCATTCTGGAAGACGTCCCATATTTACTCTCTGCCTAAATTTTACGTATTGTCATTTTATTATTGTACCCATATTGTATGAAGCTCGTGTTTTAAATAATAAGTAAATAAATCATTCTGTATTTCTTCGAAATCCTGTTATAAACACTTACGCTTTTATTGTCGTCCTCTTGGTGTTAATTCGTGAATACTTCAGGACCAGATGATTGTTTACAGCTGCAGTTCGTCTCTGAAACAACTTTCACAAAGAGTAACAGTTATGTGAACCATGACAAAACAACAATGCAAGATTACAGTCGACTAATTCACTGAGATTTTGAATTAGCATTGCATGAGATGTGCGTAATAAAGTACTGGCTAAAGCAAATCTGTAAGCAATAAGGAAATCGGAAGATTTCTAGGTTATGTGAAATACTGACATTGAGTTAAAACACTTCCTGCTAAAGCTGTCTGCCCGTCATTATTATTCATTGTTTTGAGGTATTTTTACTGTAATTTTTGCAAAGTTACAATTTTAAAGCTAATTTACCCAAGGCTATCAGGTACATTGGTGTGTGACGACTTCAGCTCCTTGAAGTGCATTAGGAGCCGAACTTACGCAGAGGTGTGAGAGCTTAAGCAAAGTTGTCATCCCCTTTTCTGTTTAATTTCAACCCTAACTGCTGACTTCAGCGACTCAGAGATTGACTTGTTAATATCAGGGAGTAATCTCGTTGACTTGGAATATGCAAATGATATAGCCCTGCTCCTAGGTGAAGACCCTGACAAAATGTAGTCTTCTGAACATCTAGAGCAGCAATCTTCGAATGGTTGGCACGCGATTCGCCCCCGTCAAATGTAAGATGGTGGTGCAGGACTGGACTCAACCGACTCATAGCTTAAAGACAGGGAGTGAAGTGGTAGAGCGTGTTGACCACCTCACTTATTCGAGAAGATATATCAGTCCTAATGAACAGATTGGTGACGAAATCTCAGCAAGGATACGCCTTCTCTGGCGTACACGTGATATCTGGCTATCGATCAAGGGGTGTGTGCACTGCTCAGCAGTTCATTACGTCCTTCTTTATGGCTGTGAGACATGGCCATTGAAACTGAAAGACGTGAAAAGACTGGCTAGCTGTCTTTGATCATAGGTACCTGCGTTCTATCTCTCGTGTTAGGTGGTATAACATGGTAAGCAATATTGAGGTTAGGCGTCAGTCGAGTGCTAGGTAAGGAGGGAGGGGAAATCAATCGACGAGGTTGTGAAGTTACACCGATTGGGATGGATAGGACATGTGTTACGGATGCCTAACCATCGTCTTCCCCAACGGATGATGTTAGCTGACATAAGATCAGGTTGGAAAAGAGCTAGTGGTGGTCAAACCAAAGCATAGCTTCCTCAGTCAATTAAATCCACAATAGTTAGTGTAAGTTACGACGGGAGGTGTAAACTTCCCGGCTGGGGTCCTAGAGAGGGAAAAACCAATGGCTGGAGACAATTTGTAATGTAGCTCAAAATTGTTGTCAATGGCGCAGATGCATTCACTGTCTATGATTTATAATACCCAACAAAATTCTATTGTTCTTCCATATCATTATTCTTTCTGAGTCACATTTCTGTTTATTATCTCTGTTTTGAATTTGTCTTCTCTTGCTTTGTGCGCTACATGGAGTGTGACAACTAAAGCTGCTACACTTCTGTCTAAAGTTCTAAGTTGAAACCAATCAGTCGCCTACATAGCGATGAACAGCAATTGTCGATCCTCTGGTTTTAATTTGTTAACTGTTACATTGAAATTTAGTCCTTTTTTTGAGAAAGGAACAGCAATTGTCACCTGATAATGCTGATGATACTACCCTGTTGCCTAAACTGAAATACGCCGGACAAGATCCGAATCTGTGGCCCATTTGGCTTAGCCACATGAACTGAAGACGCCACCAGCGAAGTATTCAGCTAGATACAACTGCCTAAGCGGAGTGTCACATCTCCCCGTATCTTATGACACTTAAAAAGAACTAAATAATTAGAATTTCAGATTGAAAATAAGAGCATCGTCCCTTTCAAGAAGTAGCAACACAAATATATACATTGGATAACACAATTATCACCTACAACACACTGCTTCCTTTTCAAAGAAGAAAAATGATCAAAACAAACGTTGAACCTAAAACAGTGAATTATATCACGTGTCAACACGTTAATAAACTGTGATGCCAACGACAGCAACTGAGCAAAGACCACCACCCACTGAGTATGCAATACATATTATAAACGTAAATAAAATAAAATCGAAATAAGATGAAATAATTTTTAATAATTTATTTTTGAATAAACAGGAGTAAATGAAGTTCAACCTAAACACAGAATTACTCTCGCGAAAACACACACACATAGACAGAAATGCCATAAAGACTCAGGATTGATTAACTATTGTATACTTGTGTGTTGAATACTACTATACCACTACTATTAATACTGTTTAAAATAATAACGCAGATATGTCACATCAAATGAACAACTCTGAAGAAGTTTATTATTTCGAAGTATGAAGCTTTTTAAAAATTTGAGCATAATATGGCAATGTTCAGACGGAAAAAAGGCTCTCAACAATAAATAATATGAGAAATGAAGAAAGAGTTACGTAACATACGGACGGATTTCACATATAAATGCCAATAAATTAACAATAATTTAAATGAGTAGTTTATGAAACTTTTCTATAAACGGTAATACCACCATGTGCAAAATTGTATTCTTTTCTTATGTGAAAAAAAAAGAGAATGGCCAGGATACACCCCTTTAATAACAACTGAAGGCGCAATATCATGGAACTTTACACTGTTTATAAGTAATGAATAATAATAATATCACCACAGCCAAATAGGGGGAAAAATGTATATCATTTGTTTCTAATATGAAATGATACAAAATAGGGGGTACACTGAAAGATTGATGGCACTAAATGAAATGTGTAAATCATTATTCAGAGGAGCAAATGGAACCACGTTCAACAAATGTGTGAATGCTTCCCCTATTGTTTTAAGTGTTTTTATTAGAAAACGAATACAGAATGAGGTGAAAAACAAACAAAAAAATAATTGCTCGAAACTATTGAGTGGTTTCGTAATAAACTCTATGATGTCATGGAAATTATATTCAATAGTTTTCACGTAAATTACGAACACTGTGACAAATGCTAAAAATTCCATTCTGTACTATAGGTACTGTTTCTGGAATAAAGTAGATTATTATTATTATTGTCAGGATGAATGCGAGAGGAAATAATCATCAGGCACGGTGAAATGAACGATGTTGTACACGATCTTGATGCGCAGGTAGATTATCACGTTGACCAGCTGCTTCTATCGCTGATGAAGAAGGTGGAACCACAGCTGATGGGGTGGTGGTGGTGGTAGTGTTAACTCTGTCCGACTGAACAGTATCATCAGATGTAGTATCGGGAAAAGATGACAAATTTAAATCAGGCATTAAATCGTAGTCTGCAAGCGCAGCAGTCGCCACCATATTGGGGCGCCTAATATTAGGTAGTCTGGATTCACCTGACTGATGATCATCAGTATCAAGAGGGCGTAACTCAGACCTGACACTATTCGAATCACAAACAATACGGTCTGGTGTTACAGTTCTACGAACAGGTGACTGCTGAGAATTTCTCGGTTGATATTCGTTAGCAATAGTGTTATCATTATCATCATGTCGGTTAATCCCAGACGATGAGGGTGTTACAATATTCTCTTCATCATCATTAGGTTCTGATGCAACGTTTGCTGTTGGATTCACCAATTCTCCAGAATGTTCTTCTGTATTACTTTCCAATGTCTCTGCTGGAGGATAAGGGCATTCTAAATGAACTAAATGAAATACCTATTTTCAGGAGAAATAACAAAGATGAAGTGATACGATAACGTGATAAATACAAAGCGGATATAAAGCTTGCATTAGTATAAAGCATTTACATTCTCAAGAATCATTAGCATAACTTTAAATTAATTAATTCCAGAGAAAATATCCAACTTATATTTCATCACGAATCAACGTCAGTTAAAGAATCATTGAAGACAAAGGAGCGCTGCCAACGTGTCCCATCTTTGTTTGCGACTCGTCACCAGTGCACATTTGTGACCCCACCAAGAATCGAACTTAGGATCTTCAAGGTACTAGACCGGTAAGTTGACCATTCAGTTGGTTGGACAGAATCCAACGACTTGTGAATTCTAACTTCTGTCAAGTTGGCTGCCGTCAACCAACCGCATCAATCAGCATCTGCTTCACTTTAGGATAGTTGAATTCACTGGCTACATGACATCTCCTTAAAACGTCAGAACACGCATTCGGTAACTACTAATTGCGTGGAGATTGATATTTACATTTTGGATTATATGTAAGAATTTTGACTGATTTCAGTGCGGATTTCATGACGAACAGAATTCAACAAGAGAATTACATTGAAAATTAAGGAGCACTGGACAGCTGCTTCATTCCAGCGGCTGAACGATTAACTGGCTGGCCTCGTAACCCGAATACCCTGAAATCCAGTGGCTGTCTAAAAAGTATTCTTGAATTCATAACCAGTGATTCCTCGAAGAACTGACTGATATACGCTGGTGTGTTTAGGTAAGCACACGCATATACCTGGACTTGTACACTCACTGCCAACCAGTTATCCACCCATATTTATTTGATACAACCTATCGATCTAAATTTCTGAATGATATAGTATCCTCACTGGTACAGAAGACTTATGTCTGAGAAATCATGAGAGATGCATGAAAGAAGGAAAACTGGAAAGTTATAATTATGTGAGATGCGTTGAATTTAGGTTAAAACCGAATTGTACCACAATAACTGAACCCAATTTTATGCACTAAACGATAAGCTGCCGCTACTGCTGACAGCTGCCTGAACACACTGGATAGGTGATAGTGTGTCCGAATCCATAACTTAGGAGCTACAATTAAAATACCAGCCTGATAGTTCAAGCACTAACTCGAGAAAAACTGTCAAATTTCAATTCACTCACTACACGTCAACGGAACAAAATTACACTTAACAGGTTTGATCACAAGCTGACATCAGTCACAGGATCACTGGAAAGCCAGGGAGTACTGAGCAGTTGTCTTGTCCTAGTTCGGAACTCTTCAGAAGTATGCATCCGCAAGGGTTCGAACCCAGGACCTCCCGGTTACAAGGCGAGCTCGTGGGCCATTCAGTCACTAGGACCCGGTCCAATGGCCCATGAATTCCAACTTCTAGCGACTCGTGATGTATATATAGGGCAGTCGCTAACCAATGTTATAGGTTAGTAACTGGCCGGTTGGACCCCACTGGTTACGACTTCCCACCAAAACTCCAAGTAACTTGCTGTATTGAACTAGTCACAACAGACAAATTATCTATCAAGTGTTGATTGGCATGGATTTATATTTGCAACAAATTAATCAAGTTATTTAAGCATAATTCCACTACAATATCAAAGTAAATTAGTAAATTCAGTATGAAATTCTCCTGATACACATATTTCGAAAAAAACCAAAACAACTTTACAGTGAAATAATACAACAAGAAATTATCAACACCGAAAAGAAACTCACATCATTCGCGGTATTATTTGAGCCAACAACACGAATGAATGTAACCAATTGTAAAGGAAATTTGATTACTTGCCAAGAACGACATTGTTCACCAGATGCATCACGTACAAGTTTCCAATCTGAACGATCATTTGATACATATACTGAATAAGAATAAGTACGCGGGTCCAAATCCCATAATAAAAATCTTTATATTAAAGAAAACAAAAAAAACAAAGGAAGATAGACAAAAGTATATGGAAACATACGAATATATATTCTAAGTTTCAGGGTTTCTCGTACGAGTCCCACTTCAGCTATTTCAGCCTGTCGATGTGAAAAAAGATATATACTCTGTACTGTGAATAATAAAAAGTTGTTGCTGTCACAGTTGTCTCATTTAAATCTAACTTCAGTGCGTCTACTCAGTGTAGAGAATATTTTCAAGTGATCAGTTGCCTGAAGAGGCTCATTGTAGTATTGTAGTCAGGACAGACAACAACCGACAAAACACCACTAACACTCCCGATATAACAATATGACGTGAATCAGTAGACATTAATGCACTCATTTCTATGTTGTTAATTAAAAAGGCTTACTAAAAACAATTATAAATGATAAAGCAAAGCATAGAGGTTTGAATTCCTGTGTGTTCCGTAAAGGAACTTCTATTAAGGTGTACAATGAACGTAAATTTCCTGTTCAATAAAGAAATCTATAGACAGTCAGATGATGTTGACATGGGATCACCACTAGGCGCAATCCTAGCAGAATTTTCCCTGGCGAAACTAGAGAATGGTCCACTCAAAGATGTAATATATAATCTTGATTTCTATTGTCGATATGTTGATGATATGTTTATAGTTGTGAAGAACGGAAGTGAGACCAAGGACATATTGGATAAATTCAGTAGAGCACATCCCAGCATAAGCCTCACTAAGGTAGAAGAAGAAGAAGAAGAAAATGACTCTATCCCCTTTTCGGACGTCCCGATGACTAAACGAACAGACGAAACAATATGTAGACGTTGGTTTAGGAAACCTACTCCCACTGGACAATATACTCACTTCCTGAGCTTCGTAACTCTGCAATACTAACGTAATCTCGTTAGATCTCTGGTTCACCGGGTTAGAGTTATCTGTTCAAATGAGACACTGAACGACGAACTCGGTAGCATTCGCCATCTACTTAGTTGAAACGGACATCCGACTATATTCGTGAACAAACACATGAACTCAGAAAGTAAAAAGTCGAAAGTACCGACTGTTCCCCAAATATCAGTCTTCCTAAGATTACATTTCACTGGTGATGTCAATAGCGAGATCTCATTACAACATCTGAGAAAGGTCTTCAAAAGGACTTTCTATGCAGCTAAGCTACGCTGTGTATTCACTAGCCAACCAATACTTAGTTCAAGAAATATGGACAGACTTCAGTTTAACTGCTCATGCGGAGCTAGTTACATAGGGCGTACGATTAGGCATGTTCATCGTCAAATTTCTGAACACCTCCAGTCTTGGTTCGACAAAGGTTTGAATAAAGTTATGCGCAGCTGAATACTAACTCATCTCGTCGATACTGGACATCAAATCGACTCTGACAAAGCTTTTAAAGTTATTTATCGTATATCACCCAATCTCTCGCATGGTCTACGAGTATGACTCTTACATACAGCAGAGGCAATCGGAATTCTATGTGTTCAAGAGAAATTTGTACAGCCCCTTTCTTTGCCATGACCAACTACACAATATGTATTAAGTTTTTAAAAACGATTTTCCCCTCCCCTTGTAACTATCTTTTGATTTTGTTCATTTTAACAATTTTTACAATTCTAGCTAATTCTATTAACTTGTTTGTTTGTATTTTACGTAACTCTTCTGAGACATCCTATTCTTCTTAGTCATCATTGCCATTTTACAGATTTCTTGATTATGTGATAACTTGTTGCCAACGCCTAAGAACCAACTTATCTTGAATTCCGCAATGAATTTTCACACCTCTTTTAAAACTTAGATATCTTGTTACTAACATCTATTAATTATTTGTTTTGATGACCTCTTGATTTTACCCCCGCCTATACCTTAAACTGATTAACCAAAATAACCACTTGATTGGTAAAAAATTTTGATGTACAGTCGATGATGAGGAACTAATTGGAAATAAATATATTTCTTCGCTCAATCTGTTGTTTTTCTTAAATGCGTAAATGGGAATTTGGAAATGTTAATTGTGCTATAGACTCCCGCAAGGAAGTTTAGCCTAAACGAATAAGTCAGCTATCACTTAGGTTTTTTCTATTTTTAGACAACAATGGGGTTGAGATCAATTAAGAAATTGTAAATTTCCACCATAATACAACCACTTCGTAAACTTAAAAAAAGCAAGGGAAACAACCACTAACAGACAACACTTAGCAAAAAAGAAAGAATATTTGCCAACCAAATGTGATGATACAATGCATTCACAAGTAATAGAGCTCACCTCATTGAACGCAATAAGAACGGTTGAGCCAACTGGACTACAATAGCACCATTACCTAATTGATGACATGTATAACCTGAATTCCAATCATACATTCGAACATTGCCGTCAATCAGCGCGTTCCTATTTCGACTGACACCTTCTAGAACTGTAGCTCCAAGATCAACATTTGCAACATTATAAGTTGGAACCTGAGAGTTAAATAAACGTTAAATAAACTAACGAAATCAGGACAAATTACAGAACAAGATCAATGGCGAATGAAATCTAACGGACCTATTTTACCTCGATTCTATGGTAGACCGAAACTACACAAACCAAATATTCCCTTACGACCAATCGTTTCGCTTCCAGGAACACCAACATATAATCTATCTAAAGAACTTTTCAGGAAATTAAATTACCTAACAGAATCATGCGACCATTCTATCAATTCGTCAATCCAATTTTTAGAGAAAATCAAAAACATTCAAGTAGAAGACAATGAAATAATGGTGTCCTTTGATGTCACAGCATTATATACTTCAATTAGTCCAAAACTAGCAATAGAAACCATGCAACAATTACTCCATAGTGATGAAAACACAAAAACGCAATTATCAACTTGGATAGAACTCATAAAATTATGCCTTACAACATACTTCCAGTTCAATACTCAAATATATGAACAAATAAAAGGAACACCAATGGGATCGCCCATATCAGGATTAATAGCTGAAGCCATTATGCAAAGATTAGAATTAATAGCTCTACCTATAATTAAACCGAAAATCTGGATACGTTACGTTGATGATACATTTGTAATAATTAAGAGAAATGATTTAGAATATACTCATAAATTAATAAACAACATATTTGAAGACATCAAATTCACGAGAGAAGAATTAGATAACAAAATCCCATTTTTAGATGTCTTAATCAGGAGAACCAACACAGGAGATTTAGAGACACAAGTTTATAGAAAATCAACGCACACAGATCAAATACTCAACTATACTAGCAATAATCCAGTTACTCACAAACGAAACTGTGTGCAGACATTGTTTAAAAGAGTTCAGACACATTGTAGCACTCCAGAGCTGAAAAGAATGGAAGAAAAGTACCTACAAACGGTCTTCAAAAAGAATGGTTATCCACAAAATTTCATCAAAAAGTGTTTAAAGTCGAATCAGAACACCAACAAGAAACCATCATCTAAGACCACAAGAAAATTCATTCTACCATACATGAAGAACATCTCTGAAATAACAGCTAGAGCACTGAAACCGTTTGATATAGATATAGCACACAAGCCAGTCAAATCGCTTAATTCGATATTATGCAAACCAAAAGATCCAACAGAAAAAGGGGATAAAATTAATACCATTTACAAAATAAATTGTATGAACTGCAACAAACATTACATCGGCCAAAGTGGGCGTCCCCTTCGAATCAGAATCCAAGAACATAAATCAGCCGTGAAAAGACATGATATGTATTCTTTAGTATCAATGCATGCAGACAACTATGGTCATCAGTTTGATTGGGATCATGTCAAAATCTTAAACAGAGGAAACACGAAAAGTGCCAGAGAATTCCTAGAGGCCTGGTACTCAAGCGAAAATGCGATTAACAAACACGTTAATATAGATGAAATATACCAATTAATAAAAAGTAAATCAGGTGACCAAAAAGTTTAAAATCCTAGTCAATAGAAAGTGGTCAATACATATGTGAAGATAGTAACCAGGAGACGCAATTACATCACGCATGAGGAAATTTAAATCATTTCACTTCGTGCTAAATATGGCGCTGAAGATGGTGTCCGGAAGGATGACGAAAGCTTCGCGAATAAACCAACCAGCTCAGAGAACGCTTTTAATTGTAAACCTGAGAGTATAATTAAAATAGTACAAATAACAACAGTATTATCAGGAATTCATGGCATGGATTATAGCAGAAAAGAGAAAGTGAGTATAGCAAAATTACCCCCCATAATTTGAAAGACACTGAATATTAAAAATAAAAGACCTTCTGTTAAGGTAGGTGTCGAACTGTTGTCTCATTGGTTATAAGTTCAGAAATCAAAAGAATAAACTAAGGCATAAATTACTGAAAACTTTTCACAAAATGAAATCTTTTACTTACCATAAAGCCATCTACTTGCTGAAATATATTCTCGCTGTAAAGACATCGAAATGTGATTAGATGAAAAGTACGATTGAATGTATTCCTTGTCCCAGTGATACGAATATAATGAACAACACGTGATGGAAAGTGTAATGTTTGCCATGAACGGCACATGTAATTACGATAATCAACAATACGATGCCAAGTGGACTGGTCCAATGAAACATCGATACAATAAGAATATGAGCTATGTATTGTCAAGATATATGAAGGAAATGTAATACAAAAAAAATAAGAATCACAAATCAGCAATCAACTGAGAAAAGCAAAAAAATAAGTTCAGAAAAGTTGGTTTCAAGTGAAAACAAAAAAAAACACAAGGTATCTCAAATGATACGGACGACTTATGACTCAGGTGGATGATTTTAGTATTGTTGTGGTCTCTGGGTTGGATGGTTTAACAGTAACGCTTTTCAGTATGCGTCTAGGTAATATTTTCAGTGTTAATTTCACCTCGAAGTTATTCCATTGATGAAGATTTCCAAAAGCGTACTTCATTTCTAAGTTAGCACTAAAAACGTTATCTAGAAAGACAGTGAAAGCCTCAGTTAGAGATTGTGACAACACTTAAACCATCATCCATTTGTATGAATATGTATCAGTTAATCAATCATGCCTAAACAATGGTCAATGATTCTCTTTAACTGTCCAAGCTGTAGTAAATGGAAGGGGTTTCGAAACCAACATCAAACTGATTAAAACTCTACAGTTTAGACATAGATCAATGGGACGTCACCTTCTTCTGTGAACATTATTTCTAGTTTCTTGCAAATGCTTTTTGAAGTCAAGTCAAACAAATTCCAGTATGAAAATTCTACCTACAGATTCACTCTGTTTCGCCAGGATACTCAGGCACACAAGTTTAAAAAAAAAACGATGTAATTTGCTTTATGTTCTTCCGTTACGATCCCACGTATATCTATCTACAAAAAATGATATTTTTAGGTTGACAGTAAAGGTTTCTCAAGTTGTCCTGGAAGTAAAAATAGTTAATCTTAACTAGAGTCAGACAAATAATTATGCTGAATAGTTTTACCTTTGAAGACAACAGTAAAGTCTCAGGTTGACGACATTATTAGCCACTAATATCTGATGTTGAATATTCGATGAGCTGATTTTCAAACGCGTCAGTGGTTTACTGGCAGAATACTCGTCGAATACGCAAGTGGTCTGGGGTTCGGTCCCCGCAGGACGCATTCTTAAACCCCGCTTAGTCAGTAGTATGTCAGTAATTTCTCCTACTTTCTTCTCTTCCTTTGTGTGCTACATGGAGTGTGGCGACTTGAACTGTCGCATATATGTGCGAAGTTCTATGTCGAAAACCGACCGACCGAGTAAGTCAGTAAAAAGGGAAGGTTGGGTGGGCATGAGGCCAGCTACCCCATCCCGTAAAAAAAAATAAAACCATTGCTACTGGGACTCCAAAGCTTAAAGGTAGAAGTCTTATATCCTACACAAAGGAATTATTTTTAAACTGCTCCACTAATTGTTCTGAATCACTGAATTTTACCCAATAATAGCCATCACTATCTAATACTCCATAGTGGTTTGCTCAGCAAACTTAAAAAACTTATTAACTATTTTTTTTTAAAGTTGATATCTCTTCTACCTCTTTAACTTCCTTAACCCTCTTTATTAGTATGCACACAATCCCTTTTCAAATAACATTTATTATTACAGAATAAAGTAAAAATTCTACAATTGTGGGCTAGTCTCAACCACTCATCATCACTTTAAAGGCGAACATCACCTTCGAAATTTCATCCTTTATTATTTTTGACAAAATATGTTGTAAAATATTTTTTCTAAAAAAGAAGAAGACAATTTACCGTAAATCTTGATCCCATAACTGCATACGTATAGTATTCACAATACTAGGTTTTCCTAGCTGAATAATAATACTAGCCTTAGGATCATCTAAAGAATGACGAACTACATCATATTCCGAATGAGGTGGCGGTGGTTTATTCTGATTAACACGTCTTCTCGACGATGGTTGGATCCAACAGGATGCCTTATTACTGAGTGCATTGCTAGTGCTGCTGGATGCCGCTGCTGCTGCTGCCGCCGCCGTATTCACAATACCAGTCCCGTAAAGGGTTAAATTACGAATATTATAATGGATTTGTTGAGTGTTGGACAATCTTTGGTTATTTGTATGGTGCGAAGAATCGCTAGGATTACTGCTGACAGCCGGAGTATGATTCGTTCCCCAGACTACGCCTTCTGACAAAGAACTTCGAGACAAATGAGTAGAATCAATATGCCGATTGAATGTTCGACCTGCAATACAAACAACAATAAGCAGAGTTACAACGATGAATTTAATATACTTATACGCACGCATGGGAAATTCTCTGTTACCATTTGCTAAAAAGAATGGCTTTAGCACTAGGTTTTACTGAAGAATAAATACAGGTAACTAATAATTATCATGGATCTGTTTTCTACTCTTTAGGAGACTGTTCGCCAACGCGTGACACTGAAGAGTGGTAATTTACTAACAACAGAAAAATCCTCTGAGTAAATACTTCAGACAAGAAACGAATATGAGGAGACTATAAACTAAAACGGCATTTAACTGATGAAATGATGTTAGGGATCATTGCTGACTTATTTCACTCAGATTTCAAGAGACATACAATACAATACTAGATGGCGTCTATCAAATTTCTTATAAGAGACAACAATTAGTCCAACGCGTTAGCTTAATACAAGAAAGAAACAATCTAAAGCCTCCGCAGTATAACCATATATAGAAGAGAAACAGAATATTTTCTCTGTGATTCTTAGCAAGATTGGGGTCAATATGTCGTTTCGAGCAGCAATCGCATTTATTGTTATTATAATTCGTTCCTTTAGTTCCTACAGGAACATAGGGCTTCAGCTGCACGTCTCCATTGCGTTTGGTTCTCTGCCGTTTCTAGGTGAGTCTAAATGGTTTAATTTAATGCCCAAAACTAATAACCCCAGTAGGATGTATGCTGTTGTTAAAGTTCATAAGTCAGGATACCCTATTAGACCTATAGTTAATTTTAGAAATTCACCTACTTATGAATTATCTAAATATTTAGCCATGGTATTAAATCCCCTTAAAAGCCACTCTAAATCTATACTAACAAATTCTTATAAACTAAAACATAGATTAGATCATTTAAAATTAGCTCATAATCATATGATTATGAGCAATAAATTGTGCTCGAAACGTCATCAGTAAACATTACTGTATAACACTGTGAGACTATCAAAACAAAATTTACCCATAATGGAATTACACTCTACCACGGTGCACAAGTTTTATTCTTATATAAATTTAAAATTAGATAATGAAGAAAAAATGGTTGGTTTTGACATTGTCAGTTTAAATACACGTATACCAATAGATATGACTATAGAGGCAGTCAGAAACGAACTCATTTCTGACCAAGAAGTCGAACAAAATTGCCACTTGAGGACACAATGCTGGGAGTGCAGCTATGCCTGACTTTCACAGTATTTAAATTCCAGGTGAAAATATACAAACAAACTGAGGGAGTGGCCATGAGGTTACCAATATCCCAGGTTGTGGCAGATATATTAATGGATAGATGGGAGAAGTTAGCGATTGAAACGTTCACCCCCACCCCAAAAGTATGGTGGAGATATGTAGATGACGCATTCACTGTACTTAGAACACAGGATATAGACAAATTTCTCCAACACATTAACTCAAAGGTGGAGGCAATTCAATTCACTTATGAATTGGAAAGTCAGGAAAGGGAACTTCCAATGTTAGATTGTAGAGTAAAAAGGAAAGAAGATGGGAAGTTAAACACTAGTGTTTACGGGAAACATACATTCAAACCGATATTTGGATTTCCGATCATCCCATCCTATGTCAGTAAAAATACGATTGGTGAAATGTTTACATGATAGGGCACAAAACTAAGTCGTACCAAGGAAAATCTAAGCCAGGAAGTAAGGCATTCAGGAGAAGCTTTCAAACTTAATAATTACCCTGATAAATTAATCAGGAAGTATGTAGGGAAATGTAAAAATAAAAATAAAATAAATAATGATAGTAGTGATAATGATAATAATAATAATAATATTAATGACGACATGCATGTCAAATATGCTCAGGATAATGACAACACCAACAATAAGGAATCTAAATCATCAGTAGTACTTCCATACAAAGAAGGCACCTCGGAAACCTTACGCAGAACTCTTAATAAGGCAGGAATAAAAGTGGCTGGCATTCAAACCAACCACAAACTCAAACGGTTAAAGGATCCTGTCTGTGGAACCTTTAAAACAAAACAATTTAGTTTATCTAATACCCTGCCTGCAATGATAGTCAGGTCAAATACATAGGCCAAAGTAGTAGAACAAGGGCAGTCAAACTAGCCGAGCATAAAAACCTACCAAAATCTAAGTTAGCTGACCCGAATAAGATGAGAAATCTAGAGAATAGTTCACCTACAGCACACACACACACACAACCATACAATAGCCTGGATGGGATAGGATGACAGTTTTAAAATCCAATGTCACAGGGTGGAGGGAGAGATTGATAACAGAAGCTTTGTTTATCGAATCAACTGCAAACACGTATAATAGGAATGATTCAACACCTGTTCCAGATATCTGGAAAATTCTACTACCCCAACGACGACAAATAGGAGAGGACAAAGAAAACCATGAAACTCAAGTGTCAAAGTCGTGTGACTACAGTTGATATGATTATGAACAATAAATTTTGTTCGAAACGTCACCCAGTAAATAATACTGTTTCACTCACTGTGTGATATATCTTATGTCCTATTTTTGTGCAGCAGATTTGGGCTAGCAGGTGATACCAACAACAACCTACACACACAGTAGGTGTGACTCATTGCATAATCCATTATAACATGAATTATAAACATTGAATAGCGTACGTACCGAAAACCAAACGAATAATTTCAGCTTTACATTTTACATTTACATACCATTAAAGATAATGATAGCTCACATTAACTGTCTTTTATGAGCATAAGTCGGTCGGTCGGTTTCCGACATAGGACTTTGCACATATGTGCGGCAGTTCAAGTCGCCACACTCCATGTAGCACACAAAGGAAGAGAAGAAAGTAGGAGAAATGCATATTAGAGACAGTAAACATAGGTGTGAGACAAAGAAATAGTAATAACGGAGAACAAAGCAGCTTAATTGGAAATCATAAGTCACAAGGAGTGGATGCATCTGCGCCACTGAGAAGAATTTTGAGCCATGTCACCAATTGTTTCCAACCATTGGTTTTTACCATCCCGAGGACCCCAACCAGGAAGTCTACATCTTCCTACGTGGATTAAGCTAACTGTTGTGGATTTCACTGACTGGTGCCATGTTTTGGTTTGACCGCCGCTAGCTCTTTTCCAGCCTGGCCCTATATCAGCTAACATTGCCCGTCGAGGAAGGCGATGACTAGGCATACGTAACACATGTCCCAACCATCTCAGTCGATGTAATTTCACAGTTCCGTCGATTGATTTCCCCGCTTTACCTAGCACTCGACGCCTAACCTCAATATTGCTCACCTTACTATACCACTTCACACGGGAGATAGAACGCAGACACCTATGATCGAACACAGATAATCTTTTCATGTCTTCTGCTCTCAATGGCCAGGTCTCACAGCCATAAAGGAGGACGGAGCGGACTGTTGAGCAGTACACACGCCCTTTGGTCGATAGTCGGATATCACGTCTACGCCAGAGACGGCGTAAACTGGCATATGCGAACCTAGCCCTCTGTATTCGTGCTGAGATTTCGTCAGAGATCAATCCGTTGGGGCTGATGGTACTTCCCAAGTAAGTGAAGCGGTCAGCGTGCTCTACCACTTTACTTCCTATTTCTAATCTAGGAGTCGGTGAAGTCCAATCCTGCAGCATCATCTTACATTTTACAGGGGCGAACCGCATGCCAAACATACGAAGATTGTTGCTCAAGGTGTTCAGTAGAGGAATCAAACAATTCCAACACGGGCAGTAATTTTGCTCGAAATATTACCAATAACAAAACTTATCATTGTGTGTAAACTATTAAAATATAATTATACTTTATGTGTTCAGTAGACTCTGCATTTTGTCAGCGTCCTCGCCTAGAAGGACTATATCGTCTGCATATTCTAAGTCGACGAGATTATTCCCTGGTAGCAAGTCAATCCATGAGTCGCTGAAGTGTGTTAGGGTTAAGTCCATTAGTACGTGTATGATGAAGTTGAATAGGAATGGGGATAATGGACATCCTTGACGGACGCCACTAGTCGTCACCACTTCAGATGACAACTCGCCATAAGGCCTCACTTGGCTGCATGAGTACGAGTAGAGTGCCTTAATCAGTGCTATGTATTTTCTCGGCATTCCCTTTACAGCCAAGCATCGCCAGACAACCTCTCGGTCGACAGAATCGAATGCCGCCTTTAGGTCAAGAAACATAATGATTGTCGGACACCGGTAAGAAAGCCTATGTTCTAGAATCTGTCGAAGGGTGAAGATATGATCAATACACCCTCTACCTGGCCTAAAACCTGCCTGGTTTTCTCGTGTTTGTGCCTCCCGAGCACCACTTAGTCTACGCAGTATTATTGAGCCTAGGATTTTAGATACTATATTAGTCAAGCTAATCCCTCTGTGATTATCACAAGAAGACTTGTCTCCCTTCTTGTCTATCGAGATGATCAGTGACTTACACTATCCCGATGGGACTTCCTCTGATTCCCAGACGCTGCCTAGAACCTCAGTTAACGCAGACAGTAAACTGTCTCCACCGTACTTAAATACCTCTGGAGTCAATCCATCAGGTCCTGCTGCTTTGCCTTGCTTCAGATTAGTGACAGCTTTAGAAACAGAATTTACTATGCTAATTACGACTGACTAGTTATAATATTACCTGCCACATCAGACATATCTATAGTTGGCATGTGAGTATTATCATCATCATCGTCATTGTTTCTTCGTCGTAGTTGTTGTTGTTGACATCTGTATGCTTCACCATGCCCTCCTCCTCCACCACCGATGTCGTCTGCCTCATCTCCATCGTCAATATCATCCACAGCATCGTCGTCTTCTTCATTTCTATCTGAATAGTCTGAATCATGACAGTTCAGTTCATTTAGACTCAGAGATTCAATATTCAATTTAGCATCATTGGATTCCTCTAAGTCAAGTGGATTTTCAACAAAAAAGTGTGGATAAGTTCCATGTTCACCAGAGATCAAGGTACATCCGAAACGAGGTGATGCCAAATTCACACCTGGTACTATAGATATTTTTGCAAAAAGGCAAAAAAAAAAACAATTGATAACTAAAAAATGATCATAACAAAATCAAATTTCTAATAATAAATATGTAACAATATGCCTCATGAATTCTAGCTTCTATCAGTTTGTGATATTAGCGCGACTACCAGACAGTGTCATGAGCAAGTATTTGTCCTGACTCCTGGCAACATAGTCACATGATGAATATATCCCAAGAATTCACATCGACAAACTGTTTTCGGCACAATAATTAAAAAGAACTGGAATGAATTCCCAGCCTACAACTTCGTACAAAAGTGCAGCTTCCTGAGTTATCACAATCTAGGTAGCACAAAAAACCAGGGGATTATGTTATTTTATTTATTTAAACACAAAAACTCGGTACAATATGGTACCAAGAAGATGCGCCACACAATAATAATAATAAGACAGCATAGATTAAAAGTAAAAATAAACGTGGAGAACGGATAAAGTACTTCTTCTGGAAGGAAAACAGTCATATCAAACAAGTTCAAGCAGCATTCGCCAATTATTGTCGTGATGGGGAGTAAGAAAGAAATAGCAGAACGTTCGCCATTGGTAGCAATTCTTGACCATATCCGATTTTGTTTCAAGCTATCTCTTGGACTCCAACCAGGGAGCCATGATGCACCAACCGATGCTAACCTAACACAAATATCCCCGATCTTAGTAATCTCCCAGACTTTATAAATCTTCATGTTTTTCTCTCTCTCTCTCTCGCACATTACGGTTCATACAAGTTCTTTTAATTTCTCCTCCTTATTTTTGTAAGTATGGTATGTACTTTGCGCCGTCTAAGTGCAAAGTACTGTTACAAGGTTGGCAAGAGCCTGTACCTGCACTCACTCTTGCGGGTGAACCGCTTGAAGTTGTTGATAAGTTTGTGTATCTGGGTAGTTGTGTGAGTGCTGGCGGAGGGGTGATGGATGAGATTTCCAGCAGTATAATGAAGGCTAGGATGGCATACATCAACTTCAGCCACCTCTGGCGCCGTCGCGACGTTAGCCTGGCTGTCAAAGGTGGGGTATACAATGCTTCGGTGCGGGCTGTCTTGCCCTACGCCTGTGAAACCTGGCCTCTCCGAGCTGAGGATGTGCGGCGACTCTGCGTGTTCGATCATCGCTGTCTCCGCAGGCTTGCTTGCGGAGGTGGTATCATCGCGTGAGTAATTCTGAGTTTCGGCGGCGTGTGTTTGAACACAGTGGAGATCACCATTCACTGAGTGTCGTCATCTGGAAACACCGGCTCCTTGGTTGGGGTCCGCGAGATAGCCCGAATCGATGGCTCGAAACGTTATCGGATGTGGCCAAGAATCGTAATCAATGGCGAACGTGTTGTAATTTCTTTTTTTCTTCCCTTCCCGATGATTGTTTGAACTTGCCAAGTATGACTGTTTTCCTTCCAGATGAAGTTCTTTACCCGTTCTCTACTTATATTTTTTATTTCTAGTCTATATTGTTTTATTATTATTGTGTGGCGCATCTTTCTTGGTGCCATATTGTGCCAAGTTTTTTTTTCTGAGTTTAAATAAATAAATAAAGAATTCACTCTGTGTCTAACCTCAATATTACTCACCATATTATACCACTTTAAGATGGTATAGATGGGGTCCTAGAATACTACAAAAAGTAAATGTTCAGAAATTCATTTCTAACTGACATCAACTTGATATGAAACATATGCTTAATTTTCAGAAAGATACGTATACTACTTGTCATCCAGGAAACACACCACCGAATTCCACATTAAATTATTAACTTTTATAAAGATTTGAATTAATTTCAGTGATTTCGTCACGAATCAATATCCGTTAGAGATTAGCGAAAAACAGCAAGTACTGAACAGCTGTTTCGTCCTAGTTGTTGACTCTTTATCAGTGCGCAGCTCCAAATAACAAGTATACTAACTGTTAACATATTAATTAAAAGAATAATTACTTAATGAAGTACAAAGGAAAGTAAACCCAAAGCATAAAATCGACTTACAAAGCCATCCACGATGAGGTACTTCAGCAGGACAATTAGTCTGTCGATTGATAGCATCTAACAATTCTTCTGAGCTAACAAGTTTCGATGAACGAACTTCAGTTAATAGTTCAGTAAGTGACATTAATTCGAATCGAACACACTGACTCATCATATGATGATTACGAAGTTCTTCTGAAGTAACCGCCATCAGTGATTCTCGATCACTGTCGACATCTTTAGTGAAAAACAGGGAAGACAAAAAACATTATAAATATGAGTACCATAAGAGAAAATTCTAAGGAAACTAATGCTTTCCTTTTTAATATATCTTACAGTACAGGTCATCAAGTAGAGGAGTTGCATTAGTAGAAGGAAAGCAAGATAATAGAGATGAAGATGAAGGCAAAGATGAGTGAGGATTAGAGAGGTTTTGCGTGCACTTCGGATTGTCAGGGCGATTGTTACTTCCCTGCTGCCCACACCGTGGAAGTTGGTTGCGTGACCGCAGAACCCAGGGACAACTGCTTGAGGCCGGTCACACGCGGCCTGTTTTTGTTTGTTCTTTTTCATTTGGTGTGTCTCAGTAGCATATTTATCACTTCTGCCCTGTGACACGGCAGCAGGAAGCGCGGTCGTTGTTAATCCGGGCCCCGACCGATCCGGCATGATATTTTGTGATTTACTTTGAGTCATAGCATTGGGTTGGGTAATTGCTTTTTGTCTAACCGCTATCCAAACAACCTTTCTGGCATAGTAGGACCTCAAGCGACATAAGTCTCAGCCAGTATAGCTTGTTGGTTCGTTGCGGTGTTCAAGGCCGACCACCACGTCAAGGTAGCAGCTTTCGGTCGGGCTTACAGTATAGAGTAGGATTTATATCCTAACGTTTGTAAGGCTTTTTGAAACAAAATAATTGTCGAATTGTGCATTGTGCAACATATACTCTTAGATAACTTAACTTATTTTGATGCCTTATTGTACGCATAATCTGAGAGCACATAATTTAGACAAATTTATTTTACTTCATATAACAAGGTATGTTTCAACACTAAAAACGATTATCGGATCCTATTACATTTACAAATCATTTGTAATATGAAAGTGGAGTTTTAAAAGGTACTGCTTTTCCTATATTACTTCTTTACCACTACATTTCTCTTTATTTAATCTTGATTTATTGTGAAGACTACCTGAGGACAACTAGTCCAAATTCCACCACAAACCAGCTTTAGCGTTCCACATTAAGCTAGCATTATATTATGCTAACCTTTCTTGGTTTAGATTTTCAATAGGATAAGCACTGCATAAACACATCACAACTTCGGCTAAATTCTTAGCGTTACTCTACTTGAAAGAGTTATGCAGACTGGTGAAACTCTGAAACAATAAACAATAGTGGAAAATTAAATCTATTGTGTAAAAAGTCCAAACTCGACAACTATATAGTCTGACATTAACAACGCAGGACAGTTGAATTGCGTCGGTGGCACAGTGGTTAGGACTCTCGCCGACCATGCACATGGCCCGAGGTTCGATCCCGCACCGACGCACACCTGATATCTATGGTCGGCCTGCTAAATTTGGGCTACCGATATCACATGCTGAAAATTTCATACTTGTAACAAAGTACTGTGTGGAATCAAGCTACAATAAATAAATTAATTAAAAATTAAAAAAAAAGTTAAACACACTGCATTCTCTTACACAGAATAGAAAGTAAAGAAAATAAATGCGACGAAACATGTAGATGAAAGTATCGGAATACAAAATAGGGAAGAGATTAAAGTAAACAGAAAATGCATTACAGTACGGTTTTTAAAAAAATTAAGACGAGGCGTCAATGTGTGTGAATTTCCGAATATAAGTATTATTTTACACTTGAAGGCTGTGATATCACGTAAGTGAATGGGTTATACTTGGTTAACTAAATTTACTAGCCCCAATGCTTTAGACCTCATCATACACCAACACTAGTTAAAAATCCACTAAAAGCCGAGGTAAATACAAAAATGTTCCTCTCTAGCTTGAAACTCTTCAGTGGTCTGCACCTATAATGCTGCAAGGGGACGAAACAAGAACTGACACGCTGAGGTGAGCGTATAATTTCTGTCAATCCTTGAAACAGTAATACTATTAACTGTCATTTAAGTATGTCATCACACGTCCCATTCCATTGGTTACTTACTTCTCAAAAAAACTTTAAGAAGTCAGTATTAAAGCCAGTGGTCTAGTAAGTGTATCTTCCTTATTAATCAACTCTTCACAAATCTCACACCTGAAAATTAATCTAAGGAAGACTGAAGACTTACTTCGAAACTGAATTGCCAAAGTCCTGAACAGAAGCAACTGGTGTGCTCTATTAAGTCAAATGTGAAAATGATTACCCATCAATAGCACCGAAGTTGACGAACTAACAGAGATTTGCAGTTGCTAGTCACCGGAATATGATTCAGTAAGAGGTCAGTAACCTGATCGTTTGATTTCTCGCCAGTTCATATGCGTGCGCTACTGCAGAGTACTAACTCACTACAAAACAACTATCAGGTACACCTCCGTATTCACTGCTTTTATAGCTAATATAGCTCGGTCTGTCCACTTTGCACCGGAATACATAATGAAAAATAAAAAACTGGCGACAACTACATATTTTAGCTCGAAAACTAGATATGATTGGATATCACAGAGAAAACAAAACATGCTTAACATACCTCTGTTCGATGATTTCTTCTCTTGCTGTACTGATGAATTTAACAGTGCTGAGAATGACAAGTTGTTGCTTTCTGCTTTAACTTCACTTGATAACTCTTCTTGTCCCACTTCATTATCAACATCTGACTGAGGATTATCTGACAAATGTGATTTATCAGCTGTTTCATTGTTAACTTTATTAAAATGCTTTAACCAAGCGCATACAGCACGAAATATCTTGATTTCGGGAGCATAAAAGCTATCACGAGATAGCAAACGTTCAACAGACGACTGAAACACAAAAAATAATACTATTAATTACATTTGATTGTAAGCTGATACAGCTAACCATATAAGAAATGATTTCCCAGAAGTTGGATGGTCGAATACCAACAAATGGACTACATGTGTCAACATCATTTCACTTACAATAATTGATTAGTCAAATAGGGCTCTTATACTACTCGTGTTTGACTATCAGATACACAAATCAGTGAGATAAGAACCATAAATGTTACAGTTTCGGCGAGGCTATAGCTTAGAGAATTGAAGAGTATACGAATTACGAAAAGAGAGCAATACACTCGAAGAACCTGGAGAATATAAAAATCAATGTCAGAGAAAGCTTCGATTCATCTTTTAACAGTTCATTACAAACATAATCGTCGGTCATATTTAACCCTTAAATAAAGCACATTCATGAATTTAGTCTCTGAAATACACGACTCATCTTTCCCTATTGCTAGTACTAAACGATGAATAGGGCCCTTCATTCTCGATCATTTGATGAAGGGAATGTTCTGTCTCCAGAGGTACTATAACAGAACCACAGCGAAACTACATTTTTAAGAGTATGAAGAAAAATCCACATTATTGACAATATACGTCTCACAACAGAAGATGACCAGTATACATCCATACAAATTCCCAAGTATTATAAAAATGTGATTTTGGACTGTGTATAATACAATAAATAGAAATATTTTCTACAGTCATAAGTAACCGTCAACCCCCATCCCATCCCACCCCCAAATCTACGGCCTGGTCTCCGTCTCGAAATACTCCCATGTAGCCACGCATTCATAGTATCTACCAGACAAGTCCTACTAACTGTTTTCATGTGGCATAGCTGTCACTCACAGTGAAAAAGCAAATCCCAATGTCTGGCGCTTACAACCGGAGTGGTGGACATATAAGCCTGACTAGGGGAGCTGAAAAACCTGTTTTGGTTACTGCGAACCATGGGAACGCAGCTACTGATGCTGCTCCATCGACTTGTGGGTAGAACTTCAATTGGGAGAACGGCTACTTAAGACAACTATCTGTTTCGGTCTAGGCGTCCGGGCAGTACTCTAGTCCTCACATAAACCATAACATATTGTGTGGCGCTTCTATTAATGTCCACATACCATATTTGTTTTAATAATGATAATAAACGTCAGACTGGTGGAAGATGAATATAGTCTGAACTTTAGTAATTAATGTAGCAACTTCTTTAGGTGGTAAAAGTGAACCATGACAACAAATACAAGTACATGGAACCATACGTAATTGGAGTTAGTCTACTCCGCCTATTTCAGCCTCGACAAATGGGTACTAACATCATCCCTAATACAGTATATGCAGTTCATAGTCTGGTACATGAAAAGTCTTTCCCAGGGAATTGAGTCCCAACTAACTAACTATATTAACGCAGATACATGTATAGACAGAAAAACAATTTAAAGAAACTAACCTGTGATAACTTCAGGAAGCGTGGATCACATAGAGGAGCAGGAGCAAGACAATCTAAGAATCTTAAACAGGCTGTAATAAGTCCATCCAGATTGTACATTACAGCCATGTCAAAAACACACCATACGTTCTTTAGACAGAGTGAATGTGTTAAGTACGTGGACAGTGCACTTTCTAGACTGTGAAAATTATACTGGTGAGCAAGGCCCAAGATTTCAAGAGTAAGCTAAACATAGATACAAAATATAAGTATAGAAAAAGACATGAGGAAAGCATGCAAAGAAAAAAACACGCACTGATGCCTTACGGCTTTGAAACAAACTCCGCTAGAGACTGCAAGGTATAAAATGTCATAAATTCTACCTCATTTGAAAAAGAAGCGCTTTTTAAATTCTCACTGTGCTCACTTCCAAGTTCACAACACCAGCATCATGGGCCAAAACCGCAGCTCGACCAAATGTTTGGGAAGCTGATATAAGTGCGATCGTCTCAGCAGCCAACCCAGTGAACTGGTACATCAACCCAGAGTCCCAAGTAGAAGCCGCATGGAATCAATTTAAACAACTTTACGCCCAAGTAACTGAACCTTTCATCCCTTGGTCTGTCCCAAAGGATCGGAAACATTGCCCCCCTTGGATAAACCGAGAGATTTGTAAGTTACTCAGACGCAAACACATATGTTGGAACCTGTTTGCCACACTTGAGACTCCTGAGACCAGGAAATTATACAACACCACTAGGAACAAAGCTATTGCAGAAATCCGCCAACCAAGGATGAAGTTCGAAGTAAATCTGGCTCAAAATGCAACAGCACGACCTAAGAAAATTTTCTTGTACATGAACTTATGGAATAAATTATCCAATGTTGTCCCAAACCTAACTACTGACAATGACACAATCGAAGAAGATCAAGAAAAAGCAGAAGCAATGGCAAACTACTTCTCCCAAGTCTTTACACAGGAGTCGTTACTCCCCATAGGATCAGCTCTGGATGCATCAGAGGAGCATGGGATAGATTCCGTTGACGTCGACCAAGACATCATGCTCAACTGCCTAATGAAACTAGATGTAGAGAAATCAATGGGTCCTGATAAATTTCATCCAAGGCTTCTAAATGAACTATCAGCTCACACAGCCGGCCCATTGACCACGATCTTCAAGCTCTCTCTCTCTCCTAAATGGATTGTTACCGCTTGACTGGAGAGACGGCATAGAAACCCTCATCCACAAAGGAGGATCAAGACAAAGCCCTTCAAATTATAGGCCTATTAACTTTACCAGCACTTTAATCAAGACAATGGAAAGAATCATCTAGAAAAGTGTCACAGCATATCTGGAAAACAACAATTTGTTATCCAGAGCATAGCATGGCTTCCGAAGAAACCTCTCATGCCTGTCAAATCTCCTCACTGCAAGAGAAAGCTGGGTCAAGTCAAGGGACGACAAAAGACTTGTTGACGTCGTCTCCATAGACTTCAGCAAAGCCTTCGATAAAGTTCCTCACAAGACACTATTCACTAAGTTGGAAAGTCTTGGTATCAAAGGCAGGGATAGGGAACTCCTCATAGATAGGAGGCAGAGGGTTAGGATCCACTCGAAACTCTCCTCCTGGACAGCAGTGGGTAGCGAAGTGCCACAAGGCACGGGCCTCTCCTATTTATTTTGTATATCAATGAGTTACCTCTGCTCACCGATTCCCCTATGATCCTATATACAGACGACTTAGAAATCTGGAGAGAGCTGAAGGGCAACAGTTGTACGCTCACGTTGCAAGGAGACTTCAACAAATTGTTAGAGCGGTCCAGAGAATGGATGCTTTAGATGAATGTAGCCAGGTGTGCAACCATGCGCATCGGACAAGCAAGCATCAGCTCTTAAGAACTAGAGGGAATAACACTCCCATCAGTTCAGATTCATTTGGATTTTGATGTCATAGTAAGTCACGATTTAAAAACTAAAGCACACTGTCGCGCGGTGGCTGCACGTATTTTCAGATCCTTCTGAGCAATTAGCAGCACCAGATATATTCGCCTCATATATATATATATATATATATATATATATATATATATATATATATGGTGAGGTCAAGATTAGGAAACTATCCAGGCAGCCAGTCCCTATCTTAAAAGGACTTACATATTCTAGAAAGGGTCAAAAGAAAGGCAACACGTATGAGTCTCGACATGATTAATTTATCATACAAGGAAAGATGAGACAGTTCAAATCTCTTCTCCCTGTAATATCGTAGGCAGAGAGGAGATTTAATCACAATGTTTAAAATCTTATATAATGACTACGGACCTCATCTATTCTCTCTTTTCCTTCCCAACAGGTCGGAACACCTTAGGAAACATAGCACGAGAGTTCAAAATCCAAGGAGAAACCAAAATGCTGTAGAGTGCTGGTTCTCACGCCGAGTCATTAACTGCTGAAACCAACTCTCGGAAGAAGTGGTCTGCAACCTCAACTGATCCATTCAACAAGGGTTTGTACAAGCACAGAAATATACTAGAAGAGGATTAACATAGGCTCCAAGCCTTCTATCCTCAACCAATTAATCTGAATTTGAAATCTTTACGCAAACTGTTCTTGTTTTTTTCAAACTCAGTAAAGATGGTGGAAAGCATTCCTGATAGACATCACTAATTGTTACCGCTTCCCTAAAGCTCCTACACAGTTAGACGAGAAATATCGTTTTATAATCTGAAATAGTTAACGATAGAGCAGCCAAACAGCTAGAAAACTTCAGCCCATATAATTTCTGAATAATACACACAGAGTTGGACTTGGTTATATATTAACTTAAACCGTATGTGATAACACTGTTGTTACTCACTAGTCGCAAAAGCAAAAAACGAAGTGAACATACCTTAGACTTCTTTAGCTTTATTTGACCAGTGTACATGTAACGCAAGATATTTTTGAAAGCAATTACATTAATGTCGTTCAGATGCACAACACTTGAGCTAGACTCTGCCATTCCTCCATAAAACAATGCTCTAAAATAATCGGAACGAGCTGCTAATATAGCTTTATGTGCAGGAAAGTGTGTATTTTGAACAACCAAAGTAACATCACTGAAGAGTTCATTTCGGTATAATTGAGCTATGCAGGGTATAATTTCGGCAGAATGATTTATTTCACACGCTTGAGTGACATCTTGAATCTCATTAGAGAATGCACCGAACTGTAACCCACGACAATGAGTAGCCGCCTGGTTAGACATAATACCAAGTTGACCCTCAGATGCAACGCACTTTCCGAATACCCCGCTCAGCTTTCAGAATCAAAATATTTTATTGCCTACTAAGCTAATTTTAATCCTTTTAAGGTGAGTAGCTGTTTCTGTTAGATAACTTCGTGAATGTGTCCACTAGGTTTTCAGTCATCAGTTCTTTTTGGAGGTAGTTCGAAGAAGTGATCACATGCCGGGAGAACCTGTACCCGACAGTAATATAGTTCCTTCTTGGCTTTGGAAGTTAACTGCAATATTCTCTAAAATATTTTGGTGCGACGGAAGTAAGAAAGTGAACGAGATCAAGTTCACATAGACTTCTTCGTAATTTTGAAGATGTTTTTCTTTGACAGTTTGAGCCAGATTCACCTAGAAATCCATCCATGAATGAGGCAGCTCTGTAACAGTTTTAATTTCATCTGCTCAGTGTAACTTCCCGATTTCTCAGGTCCCTAAAGTTAGAAAGAAGTCTGGGCATTTAGCACAAAATAATCAGATCCAACTTTATCATTTAGGATGGCCATGTTTTCGTCTCTTGTGGTGATCTTCGTAAAGTTGGTAATGGCACACAGCAGTGCACAGTCCCTTCAGATGCAGCTGCAGCGTCATTGTTATTATTCTGTCCTTGCTACCTATTCGGACCATTGGGGTTTTTAATACATCTCCAGTCTACTCAGTTCTCTGTTAGCACCTTCAGATAGATCCATGAATGCACACGAACTTTCATTTCTTCCTCATACGGTCCCTTCGTTATCACACGAACCCTGTCACTTTCCCAATGGCTTCCACTAGAAAGTATGAAATGAGGTATTACTCAACCGTCTCCTCGGTATATGTTCACTTCATCTCAGTTCAATTCTAAATATTTATCTGGTAGTAGGTTTTCGATTGGTTCTGTACTACCATTTCTTTTTGCTTATCACTTTCAACTGGTCATCTGACCCTCGACCTCAAGAAAAGGCGTAAATTGAAGAAGCTTCGTAGCAGGCTATACAGGTGTTTTGGCTTCAAATGGTAGCCTGGAATCCTGTCTTACTTGTCTTTTCACCCAGCTTGTTGGTTTCCGTTGATACAAGGACAGAACTTGTGCACTATGGTACAGTGTAATTCCATTGTGAGTTTACGCTCGTCAATCTACGACTCTATGTGAGATGAAGTGATCATCTAAGAAATCCACATCGTCAATGATCTCTTCAATATCTCGACGTACGACCGTCTCTTTCACTATGCGGTTCACCAAAACCAGGAAGGCCATCGGTTTTAGTAGCCGACCTTACTTAACACCTGCTTTCACTCCAAAAGCCTTACTAAAATCGATGTTACAAATTACCTAGCATGTGGTATCACCATTATGTAACTGTCAAGTGAGATTTATAAAGGTTAGACACTTCATAGTTTTAGACGAGTTTCACAATTGTTCAAGCTGTCGGCAAACTTTACAAAGTCAATGAATTTTAGGTAGAGGGGTGGCTGCCCTCCTCTTCTTAATTTAATAATGATGCGTAGTATTGTAATTTGATCCGTTCTTGATTTGATTTTCCTGAATCCATGGAATCTTTTAATCTCCTAAGTATGATACGACTCAATATTTTACCTGTAAAGGACAGACGCATGATGTCGTGTCAGTTCCGGCGATAGGTTAAGTCATCCTTCAATTTCAAGCTATCAAGGTAGCCCCCTTTTCGGTCTATTGGTGATACATTGCTTTTCTTTAGAACTTATAGCAGTGGCGTCATTGTATCCACTGAGGCCTCTGGTACCTATTCCAGTGCTCCTAAAGGATTCTCTCAGGCCCTACTTTACTTCTGGGTCTCGGTAACATTATGGCCCTCGAAATATTTGCTCTTCTTGAAGGCTTGGTATACACTGGTAGTTTTGCACTTCCCAGTTACGGTATTTTTGACACGTTTTATGCGTTGCTCACCTTTGCACCGGTTCATCTTCTGCCTCACCATTCTAATATTCATGAACGGAGGCACTCCGGATTAGGTTACTAAGTGTTTCTGAATATTTTCTTGTTGACTGATGGGAAAGTCCCTTTTTTCGCCTCATGTTTCAGTAACTGAAAATCAATTTTGAATTGTGGTCTTTCAGCTTGACCTGGGAGGCTCTTCGCATTAGATATGCTTTTGAATCAGCGACTGCTTTCCTTCCTCAGTGATTTGTCAAGTTCGTTGCTTCTGCACTTTCTGGATACTAAGATAGGGTTTGCCTAATTTTCGTTGTCTGTTTTGCGAAAAAGATGTCGCCTTGTATATCGCTGTGCTTGTATACGCTGCTTCCAATCACCAAATCAGCGAAGACAAAGAAGTCTGTAAGAAACTCTCATTAAGTTCACTGAACGCCTCTCGACCGGTGGTTATTTCTGCTAACGTGTTTTCTGCTCCCAGTTTTTTCTTATATTCATGTCACCCACTGGAATTTTGATTCTGCTACTGGGCTGAAGTTCCTTCTACCACTGTCTGCAACTGTTTGTCTTCACCACTTTTTCTAGGTCTATTTTTTAGAGTGCAATGCAATATGATCATAAACTCACCACCCTCCGCATGAGTCTTGCTTTCATGAATGATTTTGACTTCATGAGGACCTTCAGTGCTGTAGGTGACATAGTAATAGCCACACTCCCAATGAGCTTGTGGTTGCAGTCTGCGTGACGCAACCAATTAATTGACTCATCTGTTAACATTACATCTGCGATTACAGATTCCCGATATATCTGTATTAGATCTTCACATTTTTCGCAAAGTGAACGCTTTAGGCAATCTCAAACATTGTGTGTACGCTCCATTTCGCTATGCTCACTTTTGTTTCTCCGAAAAAATACAAATCAGTCAGCTGGCTTCCTGAAGGCCTTCACCGGCCACCATTAATTTGGTTAATTGATTCTGGTGAAAAATAATTTCAGTCTTATACTTGTTCCATGCTTTGTTGTCACTGTTGCACTGAAGTCATTGTTTATGGGTAGGGTTGAGCAAACCCCTGGGCAACCTTCTATCTTTTGTAAGCTTATCGTCGGCTAACGAAGTAGATGTGACCACTTTCCTTTCGTCTACTCTTCTCACAAAGTTTTAGCGAATATAGCATTTATTTGCAACACTTTTAGCCGATTTGATATTCCAGCTAGTGATATCTTGGCAGCAGCAATAAACTGGAAGCAGATTATACCATGATCGCTTTCCATCAGGGGTGGGAATTAATGCATAAAGTCCTCATCCTTAACATGGCGAAACCGATTTCAAGGATGAAGACATATAATGAAAATCAAAACGCATTAGTTTCTTGAGTACTTGAAGAGGGTCACTGAGATGTAAAATTCTACGAGTTTCTGTCGAAATAATTATCTGGTATAGTAGCTTTTCACTTGGAAAAATGTGAATGGTCACTTCAAGGTCATTTCGCCGTGGTATCTGTCACTCTTGGTTGCCTGTCCCTTGTGGCTTTCAATGATGATAACATATACAACTACACGACAAATATAGATATTTATACTGTTTTTTCGGCACTATAAATCTTGGCAGATTGTAGCGTACTCTTAGAATTGTCAGAACACAGAGGACAACTCTGCTCCATGTGGCAAATTTGACCAGATGTGCATGTTGCGTGAGGATAAACGTTATCGAGATATATTTTTGCGCACTGTATGGGTTATCGCGTTCACGCCTATAGAGGCGCTATAATGGTTCAGTTCTATGAAAATAGATTATATTTGACTAGTTTTAGGGTTCTGTAGCAGAAAAAAGATGTATTTTTATGTGTTCGTAATAATGGATAAAATTGTCTTGATATCCCAGACGATTTATTACTAAAAAAGTCATCCTTTATAAGAAATTTCGTATAGTAAGACTGTCTTTTGCGTTTAATAGCCTTAAGGCTTCGTTATTTGCTAGTTGTTTTAGATCTTAAGTTTGTAAATTCACTGCAGGCAGTGGTCGTTTTCATAACAGTTATTCTATAAGAAAGTAAGAATAAAAGAGAAATAGCCCACAGAAATAAATTAGATGTACGTTTTGAGGATGTTCAACACTTTTATAATCATCCTTGATGATAGAAATCTTCCATAACGTATCGAAGAGATCATGCAGTGAATGAGACAAGCTGCTGAATTTCATGTTGATCATATCCACTTCGATGAAGTTCGTAGCTAAAATTGCTCAGGCGAAGATGTGAAAGTAGTTTAATCTACACTGTTACATAGAATTTTGGGAGACCGTAATTGTTCAGTGCATAACATGGAATCAGATTATGTTGATATGAGTGTGCATTGGGGCAAGAAGAATAGTACAGATGGTCCTCCTTAAATGTCAGATTGCTTAAATTAGTATCAGCTTTCTGTCGAATAGTAGCTAGCAGCTGTGTCCTACAACTACTACACCTGTTACGTAAGTTATATCACTCTTAATAATTATTCATTTTTATATCACTAAGATATTCTGAGATCCTTAATGATTTACTTGTGGGTATGGAGGATATAGCAGGTGCACTTATGGTTCATATCTTTAAAGCATTCATCATTAAGCAAGTTACCTGTAGAAATTTTGTGATGTTCAGGTTACAATGCTTGAGTGTGTGTAGTTACTGCATGCTATTGTGCGTGAAGGGACAGTTGATGAAAATGAAGATAGAATAAAGTTTCAGACATTTCGAACTCATTCTTGTGCTATCTCATCGCAAAACCTGCAGTAAATTGCGGTAAGCATCTGCATTGCATGTTTCTACTGTTTTGACATATCCTTAGTGTGCAAAAACTTTGCTATTTTGCTACTCTCAAACCATTTTTACGAATTGTAACATGTCTTCCAATACCTCCGATAACTTAGAGCTGGAATCTGTTAGTACTATTTCTCTTACTGTACCAGCTTTAAGCCCAGAGACCCTCATCTTTGGTTTGCACGACTGGAGCATTATTTGACTAGCAATAAGCTCACGTCACAGACAGCTAAATTTGGCATTTTGAGTACAGTACTACCAGCGAAGTCGCCGAGCAGGTACGGCAACACATCGCTCAACCCAGCACAGAAGCGCCTTATGACAAGTTGA